ACTAGTATCTACACATTTAAATATAACGTTTACGTTACGGTTTAAAAGGCGAAATATATTAACTAACTTATTTTTAATTTATTTTAACTATGCTGCATTTATATTACTGCAGCTAAAACAAATTAAAGTGTTTCAAATAAGTAAGTACTATTCGCGCAAAACAGACTATAATTAACTTTTGACTATTCAAAACGTTTATCCTTTACGATGGCGCTAGCGTAGCATTTTTGGCTTTGACAGTAGAATGCCCTCCATCTATAATAATTCCGTAACGTCTAACTTGTCTAAGAACAAGCGCTGAAAGTATTGAACCGATTTTAATTAATAAGACATTGATTGATTCGTTATAAAATTCTATGTTGTATAGTACAACTCGTTGCAAAAATAAATTATTAGAATAAAGGCCGCGTTGTTTAGTTTAAAGTTAAAGACGAGAACATCTATAATTTTCAGTTTCACATGCGGTTGCGCAGTTCCGAGTGCGTTCTAGCCACATCGGGTAGTCAGCTTATGTATAATTAACCAATTTTTATAGTACATTTAAACTAAATATATATTTTAACTTAATTTTTTATTCTTGGTAGATATATTTTTTTTATTATATTAGAACTCCATTTGTTTCAAAAGATTACGTCACCACTTAAAGTTGTGGTTCATTTTCCTTATATTTTGGCTCTGTGGTGTCAGAAAAAGAAACCTTATTAATACAAGTCTATCCTTATGTCAAGCAGGACGTGTATGTTTTCGAGTGTAAATTTATCAATAAATAATTTTTACTAAGCGCATTGTCGTGCAAGTGTTATGGGAGAAAGGGTGGGGAGGACTTTTAAGGAATTTTTAGTGTCTTTCAATTCGCGTTTAGCTAAAGTGAATATAGTCCCTTTGGAAAGCGAGTACGTATTAATACAAATATAACTTTATGTAGCAAAGCTAATGCATTATTGCACGAAAATATTTTAATTTCATGCATTATATCATTAAGTCGGTATGCATTATTTGTTTCTCTTCGTAAGGCTTGAGCAATGCAATAAGGACGTTGCATTTGGGGTCAATCGCTGTTTCATATAATACATAACATGCTTTGAATATAAAATTTAATTAGCGAATGGCTTATTTTGTATCTGTAGTTTACGCGAGTAGTTCCTACATACTGCAATACAAAAAAAATGCTTTTGACGCGCACTATATTTATTAGTAGACATTTAAATACGTAATTTTTTAATGAGTATTTAATACTACATATTGTATCGAAATTCCATCCATCACCGTATAGAAGTCGACATCGCATCTGGTCTAGATGCTATATGGTTTAGGTATTTCATGTACAACGACATGTCAACAGAACTCTATTATTGTCTGTCCTCCCTTATCATAAAAAAAATTTGACGTTTAGGACGCTTTCAGCAAACTAATGATCGTGGGGATAATGTCAGACTGCAAAGCGTGCATTATTCGCTATTTAATCTGTTTAAACAAGTTTTACTTACTGCTAATACTTTACTACGAAAGCTAAAATGTCACAAATACTATTTTCTAAGTCTATTGCTGTTGTCTGCGAATCTGACAGTATGGCCTACAATCAGAGATACGAACTTGGCCCCCATTTTTGTTTTGACGGATATTTGTAATAGCTCGCGGTCCAGTAAATTTACTATACGTTGCGCAATTAATCTAGTTGCATATGAAATTACACTTTTCGTTTATGACTCAGTTATATGACTGCCTTTTTACTGATATATACGTAGAAAATAAATTTACTCCATATTGCTAGATTAAAAACATTGACCGGTTGGAACTGAATTCGTATAACTAATCCGAGAAGTCACCAAAATATTATTTAAATTTAAAACACCAGTCCTTTTCGCCTTATGTAAATTCGATGTTTAAAAAGGAAGTTGTTTAGTTTCCAATTAAATGCCGCATGCGGGTCTGTGGGCGATCAAGTAAGTTACCGTTGATTACGAAAAGAGTTTGTTTGTTTGTTAGAACAAGCTTAACGCAGAAAAGTGGAATTACTGGTACGAATTGAAAAAGAAATTTTGTGTTGACTGGACTAATTATCGAGAAAGGCTTTAGCCTATAAAACATTAGGCTGCGAGCAATAGAAGCGAAGAAACAAACGCAAATGTAAAGACGAGAATTATTTAACTTAAGAGCTTCCGTTGCGTGTGCTGGTAAAAAGGTTTCAGAAACCAAAATGTGTATGAAAGCCTAATTCTTCTTTAAATGATCTAAAAAATATCCGCGACAGTATAAATTAATCTTTTAAGATTAACTTACAAGAAAGACGGGACGCGATTAACGTCGTGGGCAGCTTTAGTTTATAAAGACAAATTTAGATGCAAAATAACTATTCTACGCTGACAAAGTTGCGGTCACAGCTAGTTTTTATAAACGTGTGTAATAACTTATACAAGTCAGTTTTGATTTTCATCAAGGGGGGGGGGGGGGGGGGAGGTTGTACGTGTCCTTTGTATGAAAATGCTTGAGATATTTATTTTGTTAATGCATTGATGAATGGAGTAGGAAACTCGGTTTAATATTATATCGGACCTGCTATTAATATGCAGTTATGCTATCCGCGCCTATCTCGTTACAAGCCATGTAAATGGATATTTGCAATAACTACACAATTATGCGGTCGGTATGTGACATTAGCATCTATGATTTCATTCGAATGGCTATTGAGTTATTATTCTGCGCTTAAAGTAATTTTAGAGGCGGAAGATGTAATTCATAGGAGCTCATTGGTCGAAAATTACCAAGTCTGAATTCGATTCCCCCTACTCCAAGTTTGTTCAAATTTTTTTATTGTTCTAACATGTTAGACGACGTCGGAAATTCAAAATACCTATTAAATGTGTCATAGGGATACCGAAGCGAAGGTGTTAATGTCACACGTTTCGGTTTTGTCTGTAGATTTTCGGTAGCAGACCTAAATTAGGTCTACAGTGGATCTCAATAACCTATACATCATAGGCCTGCCGTATTTCACTGTCCACCAAATGGAATCTTTGTTAATTTTATATCACAAAAATATATATGTTTTATCAAGTTACGGTTTACACTTTTAACGGTTAGAACGCGAAATATATGTAAAACGTCGGAGCGTACTTAAATTACAAATAACTTTAGTAGTATACTTCGCGTAATATCGACTTGTCACCCGATTCACACTTAAATTATCATTCATACATAGACATTACGTTCTTAATAATACATTATATATGTGTACTATATACGGACTTATATCCACATAAATCTTAAACAATTATTATGTTAAACGTCTGTAATTAACGCGTAGTACACATTCAAATAAAACAATCTAACGGTTTTAAACGCCCGGTCGTGTTTTGGCGAGTGTCCCTGTGACCACGACGCAAATATAAATTAATAGTTAAATTAATTCCAAATAGGTTCTATTTAATCCGTTTATTAAAAATATGTTTTATGCCTTCATACACATTAGTATTTTTAGTAGTATAGTAACTCCAATAGTTTATTGTAAAGATTTATGCCGAATACGGTAGCGTTGAAGTAGTAGTAGTTTACAGAGCAAATACATAGTATTTTATATGGTAAAGAGCTGCAGAACTCGTTTGACGGTCATGGCGCTTGATGAACGCGAAAGTGTGTCTCTAGAATGAACTATTCGCTGCCACTCGTCTGTGAATAGCTTGAATGCTTTAATATAACAACTTTCTTATGATCGAAGCCAGCGCTAAATTACTACTGAACCATGTATTTGACGGGCTCTTTGGTGTAATGGCAGCAATGTATGGCCAATAATCAAGATCGTGGGTTCGTTCCTCACCAAGTTTGACATTTTTGTAATCAATTTATAATTTTTCTGAAACATGTAAGACTTCGTCTGGAATTCTGGATGTTAAATAGGTGTTAGGAGTATCGAAATAGATGAAACAGAGAAATTTAATCGCGTTTGGGTTTCAGTCTGTTGATTTCCGAACATTCAAAGCCAAAATGAAAGACTTAGCATCAAGAGAAAACCATGCTGGCCAGTTTTCTATATTAAAAAAAAATACCACTCTTGGTAGCTTTGTCTGTGGTTACTAGGGCTTCTAATTTTATCCCAGATATATCGCTATACTAGTCATTAACTTTTATAGTTTGTCAACTTATCTCTTGTTTCAATACAATGTTGATAAATAATGATTAGCACATAATGTCCAGATACAAATGTGTGCAGTTGCACCCAGGGTCGAGATACGCCCTCCAACCACAACCCGCGAGATTACCTCACGTGCCAACCAGTCTAACAAGATCCCTTTTCATCTTTGCAAAAATTCTCGTTTCGCAAATGGAGCACCGCAGGTCTATTTAATGTGGACACTGTAAGCCGGGCTAGGTCAAGTTCTTAATAGTGTTTATCTCCTGTATCGTACATGTTTTTATAATTACACGCGTACAATCAAGTTTAATGTACTTCTTGGTCTATTTATTTATCAGTTGTTTAGAATTAAATAAACAAGAGCAGACCACATTTCAGTTCGTTTGCTGGTCTTGTGTGATTCTGATTGTGATTGGCAATATGTTGGATTTCTTCAAAATTAGCTGGTACAGTTATTCCTATCTAAAAACATCTTTTTAAACATTGCGTATATATTTTTAATAATCCATAAGTGCACAGGTAATTTATAGATTATCGACTGCGTAATTTTGATGTCTTACAAATTGTATGTCAGTCTAACATTTGCGTACTAAACATTTTATAACGTGTTTATTTTATGTCTAATAGTTTCTAATGAATTTTCGTTGTGTTTGTATTTTTATTTCGCTACAGTCGACATTAATATCTAGAATGCTACTTGGCGTAGATCAGCTATTTAGTTAAACGAGCAAATTTTACTTTGACATTTATTCATGCTTGTGCCATCTCGCACACGAAGTAAAATGAAGCAAAAAGTGAATATTGATTTGAGTAAGATTTGCGCACGTTTGCATGCACTGCTTGTGTTTAGATCGTGTTTTGTTGCATGCAGGTCTAGACGAGCCTCTCAACAGCTGTCCAGGTCGGCGGAAAGTATTGATCAATCGTACAAGAGGTAAATTTTTCTTATAATACCTTAGATAGATTTCTTTACAGGAAGTCGTCGTAATTACCATCAACGATACTTTTTGCTGTTCAATGTTAATAATAAACAACCGACCTCGTTGGTCAGTCGTGCTAGTCGGAGGATTAAAACCCCGGGTCATATTATATTTTAAACTGGTATTTAGAAAATTTCTTGTCCCAGTAGAGTTTGAAGAGATTGAAATTTGGTCCCAGTTATCATCACTAAATTTAGTCAAATTTATCCACAAATCCGCACAACTGGGAGCGAATAGCGTAGTGGTTCTTAGCTTTGAATCATGACGTACCATTAATTTGAATTGATTGTGCCGTTGAAAAGTAAAGATTTCTCAATAGTGACAATGTTGAATCTTTATTTATATAACTTTGTCATTATTAGTTGCATATATAAAAACAAATGAGGTGTTTAAGATATTGTAGAAAGTCTTCGAATAATGATACGAATGTTATTCTAATGAAATGACTGTGAACAAATATAAAGCAGTGCTTTATCATGTTTTAGGTCTAAAAGCCGTTCGGTAGATCATGGCTTCGCGCCGCCCTTTGATTTGGATTCGCTGCGATCAAAGGTCGAAGGTCGATTTGATGCTGTACAGAAAGGTAAGCTGAATAATCAATAACTCAAACAAGCTGAGAAGGGCTTTAGCATTTAATAAATATGTTTCCCTTCATTTAATTCATAATATGTGTATAACGAATATCAAAGTCATTGATCAATTTCACTTACAACTAAGTAGTTGATCAGACTTCTGTGCCTTTTCCCACCGAATCACAATATTGCATTGTGATTATGAGCTATGAAGGCGATCAATAAATCATTAAACGAACCGAAATAAACCGAGGAAAAAGTCTGTACAGTACTTTAGTTTACATACAAACAGACACATACGATTTATTGACTGACTATCAGCTCTTGAAAATTATATAACGCATAAAGATAACTTTCTTAATACTTTTTACATACCTATAACAAATTTCAAAATTTCATTTTGATATTGACGATGTTATAATATTTTATTTTTATTTGGAAACGAAACAAACAGTCACATATGGAACAATATAATACTTTAAACCTTAAACAAATAGACCTAAGGTTTCACTTATTTATAACATATGAAATCCACATCGCATTTCCTACCTTATTATGTATTAGGGCGTATCTTATTCATAGCATGTCACTAGAGGAAGTATATACGTGCTCGTTATCGCTGCGTTGAACGGAGCGGATTCTGGCACAGTCTTCTAAATAAATATGCCACTCATTAAAACAAGTATCCGGCATATAATGTAAACTACATTAATAAATTCATCCAAAATATTTACTCGAAACTACCGACACGACTCCGGTTTTATGTTTGTCTTATTTTAGCTACTGATATCTTAAAGAGATAAACGTAAAAATAGGATTTAGGATTCCGTACACAAACGACACAAACATGACTAGTACTAAATTCGATGTATGCTGTATTCGAATATTAAATGTTGGATGTGAATAATAAGCTCTTGAAATGGTACGAAACCCTTCGTGCGCGAATCCGTGTCGCACTTGGTCGATTTTAATTACGACAATACAATGTAACGAGTTCATTGTTGAGACGTAGGCGTGTTTTGTTTTTAATATCAGACTTACATTCCTTCCTCAAGTACGTTTCGATACATTCCGTTACAAGTCGAGCTCTTTTTCCTTGAGGAAATCGTATCACCATTTGTAGCATGTAACTGTTTATTCTCAAAAGGGTTACGTCGATGTCTAATCCACACGTTGTACTCAAAGTTTTGTTCCCACTTCACCTCTGTAGTTGTGTACTCTTGTTGCACCTTACGTGGGGCATGACAATATTAGTTTGTATCAGTTATCGATTTTATTTCATTAGAGAGCTTGCCCTGTGACCGAATTCGTTACAGGCCGTTACGTAAGAAAGAGCATTAGGCGGGCAACCATTTCAAGATATCTCGCCAAACATGGGCGGTAGAAATCACTTCCAAACACGAGATCTGCTTGCCCCTTTGCCCCCTATTCAATACACAAAAATAATACGTTCATTGTATTCGTATTCGACCGTTTATACAGCTAAAAGATTAAACATGTTGCCTAGCACTACGATAAGCGCCATCCAGGTGTCGACTCCCGCGAAACAATAAACCTTCACTTGTTCCAACCCACTACAATAAGTCAATGAACCATAATATTTAGCGGCGAAGCCAGTCAAGCAGGAGAATTTATATTTTATGGGATCCCAGAACTTAGATGAAGGTTTTTGACCAGATGTACTTTGACCAGATACAATGTAAGGAGTGGGTTCGTCTCCACTTACATTTTATTTATGCATCGGCATCCGGTCGCAAATCGTTTGTTTTTAATTATCAATAACATATTATTTACGATTTCGCTCATGAGTACTGTCAGAAGCTTGTGCTGATGTCATATCGTTAGCGAATTGGATGATCGTGTTAATTTTGTTTATTCAAAAACCATACAACATCTCGGCAACAGTTTGCTCACTAATATTGGCCAAGTGCCAGAATATTAATCGTATCGTCTCAGCGTTTTATTACTCTGCACTTAATGTGCTTACAATCTTTGTGAACTCATTCGCGTGATTAATAGTTTTATTTACAACACTAGGCTATGCCTGCGACTTCGTCAGGTTGACTATAACCCCCTTCCTTGAACAACCTTTTCACTGATTCCAAGCTTGTATTTTTACGTTGATACTCGAAATACGGGAATTGACGGGCTACTTGGTGCAATGGTAGTGATATATGGCTAATAAGTAGACGTGCCGTGGGTCCGATGCCAACCGGCTGCGACATTTCTCTAATCAATTTATATTTCTTCCGAAACACGTTATACTTCGTGGAAATCTGAATATTAAATGGGTGGTAGGAATATCGAAATTCCGTCCGGGTCACGACCGCCGTCCACAGATGCCGAGACAAAGCCGTCAAGTTTGATCGCCTTACGGTCTCAGTCTGTGTATTTCGGAATATTCAAAACCAAAATAGATCCCACGCATCTTGTTAAGGTGTAATATGGCTGGGGTATTTTCCTACCAATAAGTGATCCTCTTGCTTGTCTGTCCTCTTCTAAATCTAAAAATTGTCTGTGGCTTTTATTGGTTAAACTAAATTAGAATCCAGGGGAAACAACAAACAGTTTCTATGTCATAGAACACATAAGTCTTCTGAATTCAAATCTACGTCTGGGAAACACTTTGCACTTTTCCTCATAATTTCTGAAGTATGGAAAATAGGTTTTAAGCTACATAATATATCCATTGCGATCTTACCATAATCTTGTCAACTTGAGAGACGTATTTGCTTTTGAAGCAGTGTATAAATTCCCCAAGACTAGCCTCATAATACGTCGTTTGTACCATACGAGCGTTCAGGACATAAGTACATAATAGGATTATTGACGCGGCGACACAGCTCGCAGTCAGCGACATATCTTGAGCGAAACAGTCAAGTTCAGCCCGCTATTGATTCGTGTCAAAGTCACTTCTCACTTGAACAGCCTTTGTCGGTATTCAAGTCCAATATTAATCAATGTGCTCTAATCGTGCGCAAAGTATCTAATAAGTGATAATGTGGTATCAATTTGAAGAGCTTTTAAGCTTGTTTGAATGATGGATGAAGGCAAGGAAGGTAATTACAGCAAGGTCAAGGTCACCGAACACGTGTCAATAAAATTTGTACAACTTCCTGCTTGTTATCAACGAATATCGATAAAAAGTAATGAGTATATAAATTATATAGTGGAACTATTAGGAGCAAAGAAATGTTATTAAAATTACCGCACTACATTACACGTGTAATCTAATATTGCTGTGGCTACTATGCACCTTTGAGAGTTACTTAATATGGTATAGATTTGAAAATTAATTTTAGATTAATTAATCGACCTTACGTTAAGGTTACTTTGTAGTAGTCGTGGTCACTGGGGATTTAAGCAGGAGAGGGTTTTAGATGACCCGTGCGGGTTCAAACCCGAGATCACAGTGTACCGATTATTTCTACCGATTGGGCCACGATGATCCACTCGTCCTTATCGTATTTTTTTTACCTCACCTGCATTTGTTTTTAACTCATAATAATATACCTATTATGTTCAAATGAATAATATTTTTTTTATTCAAAATCTTTGAAATAATATGTTAATCTACGAAACTTCATTGTTACGTAAAAGAAAAATAGAGCTATTCACCGTCGTATTTAACCACAAAAGCGTCGAATGTGGTTGAATCTAAAATGAACATTCATTTGTTTCAGATGAGGATGAGCAGGCGAAGAGGTTGCCTCCCCCGCCCCCCATTAAAACTATGACGTATACGGTAAGCTTTTAATTGTATTACCGCTTTTTCTAATCCTGTACGTTAAACGCAGATTGCTTCGTTATAAAGTGCACGAGCCTGGAAGTAAGTTGCTTTATAAAATAACTGAGTTATGAAATAGTGGAGCGATTTTTATTTAAAACAGGCCACTTGTAGTTTATATGACGTTATATTTAAATATAGATAAAATATTAATAATTAACGATATGTGACGTCATAAAATGTTCACGAATATAAAGGAGATACTTCACAGCTTGTATAGGTTTCGAGTTTTGATACGGAAGAATTCGTAAAATTTTTAGAAAAAACAGTCAATTTTTTTTAAGGCAGTGGAAGGCGCCCTAGCCGTAAACAGTGTAAATAATATAATAGGTTATAAGGTATTTGGACTTTGCACAATCGGAAATCTGCAAACAGTATATATAAACATATTATACTTTACAGTTTTTATCTGTGGAGGGTTGGTCTTGACTCGAATGGAAATTCTATATTCCTCTAGTGGTACTAACATGTACTCAAAAATGTAAAAATAATCAAGAAACAATTTCAAACCCACGGAAATCGAACCCACGAACCGTTGTTTATAAACCATTGATAGCTGCCAAAGAGCCCGTTATTTTGTCTAATCTAATCTCATGCTTAAATCGTGTCAGGTTCGTGACCGGGACACTCTGACGTCATTGGCTGCCCGCTTCGACACCACGCCCTCCGAGCTGACCAAACTCAATCGACTCGCGACACAATTCATCTTCCCCGGACAGACACTTCTAGTCCCGGATAAGAGAAAAGGTATGCCTTTTTTATACAACGATAGCGTGTAGGAAATAATCGAGTACTCGTATCGAGTACTGTCTGTACACATATTTGACCGAAAAATAAGTATCCAAAATATGCCGCCCGTCTCCTTTTTTAAAGAAAGAAAGGCTAATGCGAGTTGCATTGAATATATAAAATCCCTTTGATTATGGGAAACTCTTGAAAAATTTTAAGAAAAATTAATGTGTTGATAAAATCCTTTTCTCCGGAACCCTTAAAATTTTAATTTAAAATTTAACGATAAATCCCAAAAAACGGTAGGTTTTATTACTAAACTGCGCCATTTATTTTTATAGTTACTGTCTTGGTATTGCAATTTCTCAATGCGAAACAGTAATCTGGCTTAGGACTTTTGTGGAGAAAAATCTATAAATTTTAGATTTTTTATTAGGACTAACATGAAAATACCTTGTAATCGTTTTGACGTAATTTTGGTAGGTATAGTGAAATCCCGTTTCCTCTGGTGGGGGAACACATTTTTGTGTTCGTTTATGATCCGTTTTTAAGGGGAGAGTGATACTAGACTTTGTTTCTGGGATTGATAGGACCTCTCTGCTATTTTAATTCTCCGTTTTTAAAGAAACTTAATAAAATACTGCTATAGTTTACGGAGTAGTACACATTTAACGTTTCGATGCTGTGCAGCAGCCGTGGTCAGGGGAGACGTCGGGCCGAAGTTAAAAATCATTTTCAAATAAGTTTAATAAATTCGCGTTTTAAACCGTTAAAGTGCTTTCATGTTGAAAAGCAACTTAATAATTAATTATTTTTTTCACTTTTTGCATGTTGTAATGTAAATCAATTGGTTAGAGCAACAGCACGGAATTGTTTGCCGGTTCAAGTCCTACCCTCGTTTTTTCAATCCAAAGTTAATTATTTATCTATTATCATTTTTCTTATATAGAGGAGATAAATTTACTTGAGAATAGGGTATTGAATTAGGGTATTATTCTTTATTGATCCTTTGATTGATTGATGATTAATTACTTGCCTTACTAATAACATGCTTTAGTGAAAATAAAATAAATAGATGTAAATAGCCTTTATTTCTGTTTTACAGTTAAATTACAACACGTTTTTCTTACTAATCATGTTTTAAGTAAATTTTAAATCACAAGTTTAAATTAAACACTTTTAACGGTTGAAAACACGAAACTTATTAGTTACTTTATTCCCAACTTAGACTCCCCGGTTTCAACAACCTGGATAGTTGAAAGAAAACGTTTTTAACTGTTAAAACACTTTATTTGTATTTGTTTAAATTTTAAATTTGTATACAGTAAGACACAGTGGTTTTCGACTTTTATACGGCATTGTGAGAACTTAAACAAAGTTAAATAAAACACTATTAATCGTTGAAAACGCGAAAATATATTAGTGTACTATATAGTTGAATTAAACCGGTATTTAACCGTAAAAACAATTTTATTTTATCTACCCCGTATTTTAAAACTGTATTATACAAAGAGCAATAAGCTAAGCTACAACGGCGCAATTGTAAGCTAATCAAGGAGACCCCCACAATGGTATCACAATTAGCCAATCGCGTCTCCAGGCCTCGGCCACTGTGAACCGTGACGGATCGTTCAACGAGAGACCGATTTACGTAACTGGCCTTCGGATACGTTGACGCTGAGCAAATCTACGTCGCTATAGATAGAATTGCATTGATTGGGCTTTCACATCGTGTTGAGCTGATTAACAATTCTAGGGTTTTAGGTGGAGGTTGATGTATCAAATGTAATTCAATTTTAAAAGGACATTTTACGAATAAGTTCCATTTTTGATTTTATATTATACTAGGTATCCCGGTGACTCGGTTTATTAAAGTCAATTAAAAGAATATTTTTTTTTACAATTTTGTCCATAGTGTTTAACCAGCTATGGTCGACGGGGTCTCCCCTTCCCTTCTGAACGAGGAAGGGGTGGGAAGGAAGAGGATGTCATTTTGAAATTGATTTTTTTTTTGATATATCAACCTCAACCTGTTTTATCTAACTTCAATGGTTTCAAATACTAAGTGTAGTTTACGCGAGTAGTACACATTTAAATACTACAATTGAACGGTTTAAAACGCGATATATATTAGTAAAACTTATTTTATAGTTATTTAATTACGGCCCGATGTTTTGAATGCTTTGCAGCGGCCGTGGGCACGGGGAGAAATTTAAAATAATTTTCCCAAATTTTTAAATGCGAATTATGTTAGTTTAACTAATATAATACACGTTTTAAACCGTTAAAGTGTTTTATTAAAATGTATACTACTCACGTTATGTAAATTTAATGGTTTTCCCATCCCGGAAATTTTTATGTTATGGTATAAAACTTCAAATTAACTATTAAGTATCGATACGAATCGCAAGTAAAGGAAAATGTCGTTTTTAGACTTTTTTGACACTTTTTGTTACGTCGCATTTCAAGGAAGATTCTAAAAAAAAATAAAAGAATTGGGGAATACCTACGGTTGATTGTGTTTATCTTAACTTGACAACAAATGTAGCGATTAATTCTTATAATATAAATTATTTGTCTCCTTTTCCTCGTTCGAAATTCAAATTGTTCTGATAAATCGATATCACCCTTTCTTCAAAAATGTAAAACTTGTAATAGAGATTTTGTAGTGATACGTTTCCTTATATATGGCACGCTTGGAATATAACAACTATATACATATACACGTATTGAGCAATGCCTTTATTACCAGGGTCTAAATAATAGTAATTTTGTAATAAACAATTTCCACTTTGCGCTTCCGGTGCGCGCTGAGTTCACACCTGAAGGTAAACCTCTGTTTTTTGTCAAGGCTGTTGAAATTGCACTTTCTCGAATATAGCGTAAAGTTTATTGGTGCTATATTAAATATAAACACTATTCAAATTAGCGATTCAACCGTCCCGTGGTTGTTCGTACTTCGTAGGCATTCGAGAAGTCGTGTTTTAAATTAAAATTCGATTTTACATAAAAAAATACGACACAGGCAGGCCTTGAACCTTACCACCACAGCGGTCCGTGCTCTAACCAATTGAGCTAGAGTGTAGAGTAGATCGTACACGTCATTGTCGTTTTTTTCAACCTAATGGTAACATAATAAGTGCAGTTATATATTCTTATAATTAAATTCTTATATTTCTTATTATTAGATATAATTTCAACCTTAATACTTGCGGAATAAGTGTTGAATTAGTTAGCATATATATTTCGCGTTTTAAACCGTTATAATGATATTGAGTGAGGTTATATTTAAATGTTAATTAACTACATTTATGGTATTATTACTAGGTATGGTTGAAAATATGCGCAAAATAAGCTCATTAAATTTATCGTTATCAGTGGAACTAATTAGTTTTAAATTATAATGATCCGTTGTTTATGTATTTATATACTTTCCATGCAATTCAACAAGACGCAATTATTGCCTGACTGACTGACTAATGGCCGTTCCTGTGTAGGTCACGGACACAGAAGTACAGACACCAACGAAATGATTTGTTGGTTAAACCCGTTCTCATAATTATACTTGAAAAGATAACAAGGCTGATAAGCGAAAGACTTATTTATTTATATCACATTTAAACGGATTAAAACGTGAATTATTTACGAAAAAAATTATGTTAACAATAACGACAGCTGTGGTGGTAAACATCCGAAATGTCGGATTTTTAAACTAGTTACGTATTAGTTTAGTAGCTGTTTTAAACCGATAAATACTATTTCCTTAATTAGTGGTTTCAATTATAGGTATACAACAATCTAATCGTCAAAGATAAAGTTGATTTGTTATAAAGAGCCGTGTTCAGAGTGACGTCGAGTTGAAAACATTTTTTCTCTATTTGTACGACAATTTGTTTGAACAGTCGTGGCAGAGTGCCTGCTAGCGCGCCCGCGTCGCATCGTTTTGTTATTTCGTATTATCAATTAAACCGGCATTGTCCCATATTTACGCACGGTTCAACCTCTGTGGCGTTACACGCGTTATTGTAACGATATGAGCTCTCTTTATCGCGCGATAATACCTTGATACTATGTACTTAAACGCGATAGCACAAGAATGTTCCAATTCGAATTCCTGAAACGTTGGTACAACGGTGCGTTTGGTTGTGCTGTGCTCCCTCTATTAAATTCAGTGCTCGTTGTTGATTCTTAAACGTGTGTCTTCAGATGGCGATAAGGAGTCAGATGGTCCATCCGAGAGTGGCGATAACACCTCCGAATCCACGCAAGGAGCCCCAAGTGAGCCGGCGCAAGAAAAAGGTACATAATATAAGAAGTACGCAATTATACATTGCACGAGAGGTGCATGTATCACTAAGTTAAAAAAATCGTCGATGACGAGTACGAGGACTCGGTAACTCAATTGGTTAGTGCAACAGCTGGGAACGGTGGGGATGCCGGTTCAATCCTGCCCGAGTCGTACTTTTCTTATTTTTACTCTCTTTTAATTCACAAGACGCAGTAGATTCAATGGAAAGGTAGCATTTAAAATGTCGTTAAAGCGCAAATCTAACTGTGTAATTAGCGAAGTAATTAGATACGAACGGTGCCTTGAAGTATTGTTTAGTGTTATTCGTCCGTGGCTGTTGGATCTTCGTTGCATAGGTTAACTTGCCGTGTTATTTGTAAATCTAATTTGGTATATCAGTAGAACGCTACATGTTCAGTAACATGCAAATATGCGACGTAAATATATCGTAATTCTGTTATCGCGGTGCTTCAAGGAGAAGTTTTATCGCTTTCACATTTTAATGAAATGAGTTAGTATATAATAGAATAGTATAGATCTTTAAAAGAAAGTGTTCGAATAGGACAGTGCAAAAAATGTAATTTCTGTATTAGGCATGTTAGAAAGATGAGGTTTTTTCTTAAGTACAGCCTAGCTAAATATGGATGAGTAAATTTGTAACTAAGTATTATCTGTAGTTTACGCGATAGTATGTACATATGTAAATGAAACACTTTTAGTCGTCGGGTCACAGTTAAAATAAATTTTAAAAAGCGTATACATGTTTTAAACTGTAAAAAGTAATTAATTATTTTTGTATTTATAGTTTTTAATATAGTTAATTCCTAATTAATGACCATATCTGAACGCACTGCGTTAAGCTTAATAGGTTCAAATCCTAAGTGACAATTCTAAGCCTGAAACATAATCTAATGAAATGAACACGAAAATATCTCTGACGATTTTGCATACTAATATTAATAGCGTTTATATAATTAAGAGTTGAAATTTGACAAATTGTATGCCTGTGGAATGATAAGCATTGTCATTGATTACAGAAATATTGGATAACTTAAGGCCGGTCTCCCCCGAGGCACCAGCCAGTAGCAGCGCACCACAGCGTTTCCTCAAGATCAACGTCCGACACATTACCGATGGACAGGTAAATTTTTGCGCCTGGGTTTTCTATATCAATCAAATCATGCATCTAAGTCACAATGGATGCGTCACATTTGAGAGAATAACCTAGAGTTTCCCACGAGATTGCTAATATAATGTCAGTGTTGTGGTATTTTAGTATCATAAAATGTTACTATAAATGTTTGTATTCTGTCGTGGTCCATATCCAGTAGTGAAGTGTTTTTAGGACATTGTTTGCTAATATAATTAAACCGTTTGTTTGATAAATCAGAAAATTATAGCTACGTCATTTATTTCGAAACTATGGTTAAATAACATTAATATTCTAGTAAAGCACTTTATCACAAATACCAACTAAGCTACAATCACCTGTTATTAGTGTTGAATATTGATTTTAGCATTTTCCATCTAAACAGTAATTTTTATTAGAAATATAGCTAATAAAGCTTACTATCTATTCGTGTTGCTAAAGATAATGTATAACTTTTTTTTTAAGCATTGCCATTTCCAAAATATAGCTATAAGGAAGAAAATACAAAAAATCAAGTAGTGTACTATCACAAGTCATACTTAAAATTTTAATACTATTTAAATTATGGAAAAAAAACATGCTAGAAAATAATTAATGTTTTCTTTCTTTCTTTCAAAAGGATCGGTCTCCATTATTACTAAAATAAAATCTATATTTAATTCTTCCAGGGAGTCGTGTCCGGCGTGCTGCTTGTCACACCGAACGCTGTGATGTTCGATCCGAACGTGTCCGACACTCTGGTCATGGAGCACGGCCCCGAATCGTACGGTGTAATAGCGCCCATGGAGTACGTCGTCAACGCGGCCATATTCTATGATATTGCGCACATGCGCACTCACGGACCAGACCATAATGCGCACAAGTACGTTACTGCATAATAATAACAAATATATATATGTAAAATGGCCAAATATATCTTCTGTAATGCAGACATATTATATATGTATATTTGGTACCTAAAACCATGACAATCGTGACGTTATGATATAAATATTATTCGTTGCTTGCTTTATTGTAAATTTTAAGTGCAGAATTGATTGCGTGCATCAATTTTCTGATGATATAAATGTTGAAACACTTATTATTCTTTCATATGTTACTTATTATTTGATGGCATTATATAAATAAAAAATGTGTTAAAATTGAAAAACATTTGAAGACACGTCAGCGAGTTGTCCCGACCACACATTCACAGCGATCCGTTCTGCTGCTGTAACCTTAGGACACGGTATCTCCCATGTAGAAACATAAGTGGTTCAAGTCCGTGGCGTCAATTGTTTTCAGTCTAAATAGATTTTTAATTTAGACGATATAAATATCTTTATTTTTACACTATAAAACAACTAAATACTATGCCATTTTAGCAAAAACACCGATTAATAAATGTCAAAATTATTATTACGGAACGTCAACTGACAGCGAAACGAAGTTAGCGCACTTTGACAGAGTCTAGCCCGTTTCAGCGCATTTCTAAGCAAACCTCAGACTGGATGACAAGTCTCTAGAAACAGTCCTACGTTTCGTTGGAAAGTTTTTTGTTTTATAAAGCCTTTAATCAGCCAAAGAGCGTTAGAATAAGACTTGTATATCGTCACGAAATTGAAATAGGGAAGACTCTGTCTGTCTGCAATTACATAATGCAATTGAATCAAAATTAAACGATTCAATTGTAGTACAAGATAATTAGAAACAAATGACGAGCGTAATTTTTGTTTTTCCCACTCATTTTCCTGCTTTTTGAGCTACTTCGAAATATCCTCCTCGACGTATTCGATTAATGCTGTTCTGTTTCGTCATGCAAGACGAATCCAAATTTCACGCTTTTCACAGCAACCGATAGGCCGCTTACGCAAATTGAATTACAAGGGAATTGATGAGTCACTAACATTGTTTTCTGCGATTTCAGAGTGGAGCAAGCAGAAATTTATTACATGAATAAATCTGAACACTCACCTGGCAAGGATTCACTTCTAGTCAAAGTAAGTAATATTCGACGTTTATGACGTTTTAGTTATGGCTACGTAAAACCTTCTACCCAGTTATAAGGATAGCCTTGTATTATAAATGCGAAAATTATAACTTAGCTTAGTTGTAAGTTCGTAGTATTGATCCTTTACGCTAATAAGTCGTCATTTGCGTAAGGAATCAGTATTATATCACTTGATATTGGATATGTGAGCCTATAAAAAAAGAAATATCGGTTTAAAACCCGAAATATATTAGTTAAACATTTAACGAAGATACTGTGACCACTGCTGCTGCAAAGCATCCGAAATGTCTGGCCGTAGTCAAAATATATTCAAGCAAGTTTAACTAATATATTTCGCGTTTTCAACTGTTAGTGTTTTATTTAAATGTAGTCAGATAGTATAAAAGAGATACAATGAAAAGCAATGTCATGGTACGTAGACAACAGAGTCGTGGATTCGAGTCTAGTTTGTTTTGTTCTGCTTAAATGTAAATAAAATTCGTTTCGTTTGCAGGATGAAACATTCCCCGAGCTGCAGGCGGCCGGGGGTGAAGGTGAAGGGGGTGAGGAGCGCCCTGCCTCCTCCGAGGAGGAGCGTGGGGGTGCTGCCTTCCCAAAAGCGTTCGAGAGGGAGCTCGTGACACCCACCGCCTTACAGGTACCTTACACGTGTAACATTTATCCTCCTGAACTAATAAAAGAAAGGGGTTTTTCATGGAATGTATTAGAATCAATGTTCTCAGCTTTGTTGCTTTGTATAGGCATTAACGTTGTTATTGAAATGAATATGAAAGTGTACCTCGGGGACAAATTGCGGTATACGTTTTATTTGTTATGTTTTGAAAAGTTTTCGCTAACTAAAATTGGTTTCTTACCATTTTGAGTCCAGATGGAAAAGGATAATAAATTGTTATATTTATACACTTTGAATTATATCCACTGAGTAGTCTGTAGTATACGCTGTTTCACAGTGTTTTTTTTTAATGGAGACTTAATTAAAATAAAACATTTTTTGACGGTTTAAAACAGGATTTTTTTTACCTTATACTTAAAAATAAACAGCAGGATTTACAATTAAGTACTAACTTACATAATTACATCTTATAGCAACAAACAACTGAAGAGCGACGGATGTCGTTACTGGATCACCACTGGGCCATTCCCAGCAAGGATAGAATGTCGATAGATCAAGGCAGCGAGGTAAGTTAAATAATATAAATAAATAATCTAAACAATGTTGCCAAATTATTGTAAAGGATTAGTTTTTTAAAGCTTGCACCTTGGTTAGATTAAACATTTCTGGAGAAATTTAGTAGATTTTTTTAGGTATAGTTAAAAGACATTATTCCCATAATATTAGTTTCACTTAAAATGAAAGACTTCATTTATAAAGGATTGATAAATAGCTTATTTAATAAATAAGAATTCATTTTCAATGTTTTTAAACTTAATTATTTCAATTACATATTTGATGTTTAAATATAAAAGTGACTACAGTTGGTGCTCTTTGTCGTAATGACATTTTGTAACTTACCTTGTACACTTTTAAGGTATCATCCAGTGCCGACCACGGCAAGGAAGAGAGCTTGGAGGTATCTATGGCGGAGGGGGCTGAAGGATCAGACGTGGAGCGCGCTGCTTCCGTCGCTGAGGGCGATGACGCAGCGCATCTCGTCAAACTGTCCTACCACGACTCGGGCATTGATATCCGCGACCCACTACTGCATGTCACACCCGCCAACTCCAAGAAGGTATTATTGTCAAATTAAATGTTTACCTGAAGTTATGGTTTACGAAATTAATGTACGAACCTCCAAACTGCAGTAATTGTAATGGCATGGTGTACTGTAAACAACTAACAGTTATAATAATATATTACGAGGCTTTGATGGACAAACTTTGTACGAATGAATATGATTTTACATACTAATTTATTTGGCCACTAAACACGACAGTTATATACCGACTTCTGATCAACTTATCAAGCAAGTTATCTCAAAGAATATAGTCAAAATTTATTTATTTATTTCCTGAAATCCTTTCAGCTAAAAGTACATTTTGTTCTTATAATTAGGAAATTAATTACGCCAATTACAAGGATTTACAAATAATAAATTAATAAAAGTGACAAAGTTATATGTTATAGGTGCATAAGACGATCATGTTTAAATTTCCAAGCACATTTGAGAAAAATAAAATATTTTTTTTTAATAACAATGTGATACACACTACTTTCTCGATATAGTTTTACCTTAGGAAATAGGTAAAGCAAGCTACTGATTTACTGGTTCAATCAGATAACTATTATAGTCATGTGGGTAAAATGGAAAAAACTTGTTTAAAACGCGAATGTATTAGTCAACTTATTTACAATTCATTTTTACTACGATTCGACGTTTCAGATGCTTTACAGCGACCGTAGTCCCGGCGAGACATCAAAAAACATCCATTGCAAAGCATGCGAAACACTGGGCAGTAGTTAAAATAAATTGTAAATAAGTTAAATAATCAATTACGCGTTTTAAAGGATTTATTTAAATGTGTTTTACTCGCGTAAACTACTGAAAATACCTAACTGATAGATCATGTAGGAGACTAATCCTTTATAGATAATTATTTATCTTTTCAAAAATTCCAGATTTCAAGAAGTTGTATTATTCTGACATATGCATTTTTAGGGTAGCATTGACCACGATGACTACTACCACGAAATCGAAACGATTTACGAATCGGCCGAGGAATGGGAGGAAGTTCGTTGCGATGTGACGTACGAGGCGAATTTTTTGCGATGCTTTTCAGTTGAGCACGATGTCGATAAGTTGTCTAGTTCTTCCAAAGAGGTGAGGAATACGCGACGCGGTGTTCCCTCGTGCGGTGGTTGGGATCATTCTAGAACTCCTTTTGTGCAGTACACTAGTATCATGAGGAACTTCACTTCTTTTCTCTTCTCTTCTTCTCGGTGTCAAGGATTTGGTATTTAAGTCGCTCTGTTCATCGGATTGTGAAAGGTCATTACATTCATTCTTCTGGGTCTTTTCTAGGATCTGTGGTGTCTACTTCTTTAAGAGGTTTTATTTGTCGATAAAAATGAGATACGTACCTAAGTTAGGGAGATATACTTCTTCTATTTAAGCCTTTAAGTAATATATTTTGAAAGAAAGTATAAAAATGTTTGTATTTCAGGTGTACAGTGACGCTGATATCGTTCTATCAGCTGATTGGGTGCCACCCGTTTGTTTGCCCCGTGCCGAACCGCCGCTCTCCGCGCCGCCATTAGGAGAGAATGAGCGCGCACAACGCAAGCCTGCAGCTGTCTCTTTCTCGCTTGACGGAAATCAGAAAGAAGATCCATCGAAGCCGGATAAAAAGAACAAGGTGATTAACAGATATGATTACTAGTTTGTTAATAAATTTTGATATATTTTTAATCAAATAAATATATTTTTCTAATTAAATTAGATATATAAAATTGTCAGAAAAAAAGGATAAGTGACCAAAATAAATACTAGCTGAATTCTTATCATTCTAATACTTTCACAAAGAATGTAATGATTTTGCTTCAAGTATTATCTCAAAAGATGTCAACAACGTTCAAAATCATTATTGTAGTATTTTTTTATTTACAAATAACACCACTGGAACTTTTTTATATCAATGATTATTACATTTATATTATAAACATAACTACAAATGTACTAATGTACAATACAATATACAAATATCTAAGTTTACATTTATATACATTGGTTCACAGATGTTAAAACGTCTCTCATACCCGCTATCCTGGGTGGAAGGACTGACAGGTGAAGGTCAACAACCGAGTTCCGGCTCGCAAGGTGATTCTTTGCCTACGTCCGCCGACAGTCAACAGTCTACTAGCGTGTTCTCTAAAGTTTTTAACAGGTATACAGACAAACAACAAGTATCTACGCCTTAAGTGCGGTTTCTTTAAAAAAGTTTTTGGTTTATACATTTTTAAAATTTAAATTTCGATAGTAAGAAACCGCATCAATATGTATTATTGCTTTTTCGCATAAAGCAAATAATGTTGCAATGTTTCCGAACGCAAAAAACTGAATGTAAAACAGTCGACGCATCCATTATTCATAGGCGGTTCGTACGCCGCAGTGAATAATGCATATGTTTTTGACAAAACCAATTAACATATCGGCGCAAGGGATTCGTGACATTGGTGTTTTTGTCATATTTAAAACCGAAAAACCTGCTTCAAATTAATGTGGCCATTCAAAATTTTTCCCTCTGCTACCGTGGATGCTAACCCGGATCGTCTGATAAACTCCGCTCCGTTCATTGGTTAAGTTCCCCAATGAACCTAGTCGAGTTTGGTACTGGTTTGTTCCTGAGTAAAACCCCGTCGGAGGAGGCGCCGCTAGAGGCGCTGTCGGGGTACGTGCGAGACGCGCCTATGTGTTGCCTTCGTACCTGTAGACCATAGTGACACGCTCCCCGATACAGCTTCTCGATGTCTCATTACTTCATTGTTGAGCCATTAGCTCTTAGACTTTCCAATGTTTAAATTATACTGTGTCTTATATAGTGTGCTGTTTTTGACACTTCACGCCTTTGTTAATCAATATAGTTGTTTTTAAAGGGTGCCCACTAAAGTGTATCTGGTAAACGAAAAGCCTGTATTGGAAATGGGTTATATTTTTTTCTTCATTAACATATACAAACCTTATTTCAATCCTTTAAATAAACCAAGCGATTATATTCACTTATTATTACGTACTACCATGCCTAACGTAAATTACTAAAATTACCATTCTATATAAGAGACAGTATGGTTCTGAGAGATGACTATTTGTTATAAACCGTTTATAGTACCGTGTCAGTGTGGTCAGAGTGCCTCTTGTTCGTATCTTCACATTCTGTTACTAGGTCTTTCCACTGATATCTTTTCTGGTGTCGTATTGTGTACTTTGAATTTTGAAACAAACGCTAAGAAACCTTACATATTATCCCGCTTTACGCGCAGTGTCACTATAACACTAAATGTTGCGGACATCTTCTCTTCTCTCTGAATAAAAAATTAAAGCCATCCTGTCTGTCTATAATAATTATGTATAACTGTAAACTTTGCCACGTGCGATATTACTAAAATCGAAATAGCGCTGATTCAAGATTCATTTTGCTTAACCTTTGCGTACAAAATCGCTAAATAGCATGCGGTATATGTGTTAGGCGTTAGACGTTATCGAGTTTAGAGTATTAGTCTCGTTATCGAGCACAGCTATAGCGGTTTGCCGATGCGTCACGCCTTCTATAATATTTTCTCAGTGGGATATAATAACACAGGTTTTGAATTTAGATCCTAAAAACCTAAGATCGTACATGTCTGGGCTTCGGAACCAATGAAATCGAAACCACTGGAACCAATGCCGACTAAGGGCAAAACAAAATATAATGATTACGATTAGTTTTCAGTAATGTTTTAAAATGTATCGATTATTTTTTTGCAAGGTACCTACCAATAATTTGACAGAAAATTCTATATTCAAATAATTTAATCCACACCGAAGAACATATAAAAAATATACATATAGAATTTATACAATGACATAATAATATATAATACATAAACGGTTTTAAAATTGTCAAATACACTTAGCTGCGGAAGATCATCGCTCAGTTTTGCTGCAAAAACAGATTACTTGCATCGTCTATTTTCGTGTTGATCGATTTTCGATTGTCGAATTTGAAATATAGTGTGTAAAGATGATTTTAGCCATAACGAGAATATTTGTATATAACAGAGTATCTAAAATCGATTTCAATTTTATTATAATCCATTTGATTATTAAAACAACCGATCCAGCATACCCTACTGAGAGAATACTATATTACTTTAAAATGTCCTATGCTATTTTCTTTGTTGCATTTCCCTCTTTCCAGCTATGCTGTGGCGTGTCTTTCGGCTTACCACTATTCCAGTGGACGTTGAAACGATCATGAGGTTTTATCAGAAATTTAGCTCGTATTCATCTTACACCTATCCACCATATTGGCACCTTGTATGTTTCATTGGAAGTTAAGCATGTTAGGTGTAATATTCTTGCAGGGCGACGTCTACAGCAAGAATTCAGAAAGTCACTTATTTTGTTTCTTTTTATGTCAGTAACCATTGTCCCTCGATTTAAAAGAAAACTTGTTAAGATTATTTAAAGGCTGTTGTTTGCTTTCGAGTTTGGAACATTATGGATCTTCAAAAATCAAAGACTTATTTTTAATATTAAATGAATGTGCAGGCGCAGTTCACTCGGCGGTTTTGGGCGCTCCCACACCAAGGCAGCTAATGTGCCGCAACCGAAACTAGACTACCGCAGCATGGTTTCCGTGGACGACATGCCTGATCTTTTCGCGTCTTTCGACAGTATGTGTGCACAGTTTTCTAAATTATTGTTAAATGTTTTAGTTAAGATCAACCGAACTATATATTGTATTTATGGTACATTTGAGCGTTACATAAAATATAGTACACCTATTAAAAATCTATACTAATATATAAAACTGAAGAGTTTGTTTGTTTGTTTGAACGCACTAATCTCAGGAACTACGGGATCGAAAATTATTTTTGTATTGGTTAGAACATTTATCGAGGAAGGCTATATGCTATAAAACATCGCGCTTTTACTAATAGAAGCGAAGATACAGCGTGAAAAGTGAACAAAACGGGGTACATTTTTCATCTCTGTGGGTTTCAGTTGCGTACGCTGCGAAAACGGTTCAAGATAACTAAAAAATGTCTATTAAAGAATTATTCTTTTTTAAATGATCTAAAAAAAAGTCCACGACGCTATAAGTCTATCTTTTAAGATTAGCTTGCAAGAACAGCTTAAGCTTATAAAGATGACGGGGTTTGTAAAACCTAATTTGGATGCCTAAAATAACGATTCTCGCGGACGAAGTCGCGGGCACAGCTAGTATAGTATATTTCTAATAGGTGTACTATAGTGTACTATATAAGTTTTAAAACAGCATTATATTATATGTGTAAGCTTAATATTTGATGTATGTTTTATACATTCGTTTAATTTAAAAGTGGACAAACTGTCGGAATATGAATGCTCAGTTAAAATATGTATTATTATTACAGAACTGATACCGCGACCAGCGCGACCCAGCGATGATCCACCTCTGTATTTGCGACTGCGCATGGGCAAACCAGCTGGCAGGCCCCTACCGCGGTCCACCCCACTTATGTCTTACGGTCGAAAGCGAATGAAGCCGGAATATTGGTTCGGAGTGCCCAGAAATAGGTTAGCTCCTTATGTATTTCTAGGCTATTTTTAGCTTTATTTAGTTAGAGCAGCAGCACGGAACGCTATTGATACAGGTTCAAGTCCCGACCAAACGTTAACTCTGTAATTTCATCTTTAATGATTTTGCTTAAGTTGTTAAGCTTAAGCGTTAGTCTTAAGGTTTAAAATACATACAGTGAGAGATTCATTTGCTGGATTTATATTGTTTGTAAATTTTATTAAATATAATTTTAAATAGTATGCTCATAACATTCCGGCTCTATAATTTGCATTGACTACGGTAGGTCCTAAATTCTACGAAATCAGTCAAAATATTTGTCAAATGAAACAGGAATTCAAACAAACGGCCATTAAAATTCTTATTTATTTCGCTTTTGATCATAGCTTATGTGAAATTCAAATTAGATTTTTCAAACTATTTAACAACGAGTCGAAACTTTAATATTTTTCACGTGTAATATAACGTATATTGCACACGACGGCACGATGTAAATAAAAACTCGATTATAACCTGAAAAAGTCTCGTTGAGGAGGATTTGAACCCTTCCGAGCTGTTGCTCTAACTAATCGAACTACCGTGTCCTAGGACACGGCTCGACAATCGATTTTTATCGATTTATAGTCGATATTTAATCAATTAACGATGTTTAATCTAAAAATTCGATTTTCGCTACTCTCCATATTTTAACAAATTTATTATTTAATGGCGTTATAGTTATGGGAATAAATACGTTCTCATTTACGATATGGATGAATGCTGAATGATTTTATCCAACTCTGTTCAGTTTCCATATCGGATGTCAAGGGGAAAATACATATTTATATTACAATCGCATATCTCGGAATATTGTTATATGATATTGTTTATTTTTCGAATAACACGTAGACATAACATCAATATTTGTCGCTACGACGCATTAATTTATATGCCATCGCGACTCCCTAGTAACTCCTTTATGTATACATATAAAATGGTTTGTACCGAAAAATGAAACCTTTCAACACACAGACAAACTGCCTAACATGTGAAATTCCGTTTTCCCGAGGGCAGCATAACAAAGTGAGTACCGGCCCCGTGGGGCACGGGGTGAACACAATTGTGTGTCCCTTTCGCTGATCAGTTTTATTTACAGACAAGCATTGATCAGATTCGTTTCCTGTCTGACCAAAACAATCTATTGTTTCCCTAGAATTCGAACCTAGGACATTTCGCGTTTACGGTAATGCTAGTCAACACGTTTAACCATTTAGCTACAGTGACGGCGTGGGCGGCATAGGGCGAACACTATTATATGTCTGTTTTCACTGAACGACATTGTGGCTTTTGAACCGAAACAATTCAAACGAACATTTTGACGATATTGGGGTCTAATGGGACGAAATGTAAAAAAAATGCTTATAAAATTTATCTCTTTAACTTGAATAATAAAATAAATACCGCGGGGCGCGTCTAGCTAGACGTTAAAAGGATGAATATAATTGAAACTAATTATACCTAAGATGGTGCGTGTATAGCATACAAACACCAATGTTTATAGAACTGTTTATGGTAGCACTTAAGTTACACGAACAAGTGTTTTCATAAAGATTTCTTATCGATAATGGTTATAAACGATAGAACATCATCGTATATAAAAATAATGTCTGATTGCACTAGTTTCTTTCATTTATAATTATGTATATAGAACGTAAATTTTTATACAATCGGTTTAAAAGGAACTGTTCAATGTTTGGTTTAAAACCGTTGAATGTCTGCTTGCGTTAACTATAGACAATACTTACGGATAAATTAGAGAATTTCATACAATAATGATCAATAACTGAGTGTAGGAGATATAGAATTACTGAAAAAAATAAATATTATAATAAAATCAATATTTTTAATTAATTTATTCTATTATGATGTTTTATTTCACATCACAGGAGTCTTCTGTTTGTAAGCATTTTCCTACCAATTCAGAAAAATCTGTTGAGCCGTTCGCGTCCAGTGTATTAATAGTATAACTAACATTTTGCTATGATATATTAAGTCTAATTATCAAACGGAAAATAAAATTATATGTTTATACCAATATATCTTGATATCTCGACGAATGATAGCAATTTAAAGCATATAATAAAACGTGAAATATTTTATTAGGGTGGATGACCTCTTCAAGTTCCTAACGCACTGGGTGCCGGACCGATATGGACCCCTTGGGGACGTGTCAGCACGCGGATACGAACTCATCGACAGCGACACCGAATGGGATGATGATGAAGCCAAACCTGGGCAAAAGGTAAGCGTGTCAGTGTAACTACATTTTTTTTTGGGCAGTATAAATAAGCATAATGCTCATTGAAATAAAACAATTTTAACGTTTTAAAACGCAAAATGTACTAGTTAAACTTTACAAAACTTTGTCTCCTCGTGACCACGGTTGTTAAGCATCCAAAACTAAAGTAATTTTAAAGTTTAGGATTCATTACGCATTTCAAACCTTTAAAATTGTTTTATTTAAATGTGCACTGCAGTTGGTAAAACGCTCCAGACATATATTATTTATGATAGAGTAAGACAGACAAACTTGTGGTTCATGGTATCAATGGATGGTAAATGAAATATCTCAGCCGTATAACATCTAAACAAGCTGTGCTATAGACCTACTTTGGCTTTGGATATTCGGAAATACATAGACTGAAACCGAACTCGACGGCTTTTTATCTATGGGCGGTGATTCGTAACCCGAACGGAATTTCGATATTCCTACCACCCATTTCTCCAGATTTCCAGACTTTAAATTTTAGGATAGTCTTTTGTTTTCACATAAATGGGTTATTGTTTTATTATCGTGCTGTATTTATAGCTGCACAAATATTTTTTATCTTTACTGCTGTATATAAATGGTAAGCTTTGTTCAAATAACACGCATAGCATACAATAAATGAAAATAAAATTTCGTTTGCACTAAGACAGTATTAATGTCTTAATATAAAGATGTCAGCTATATACAGGTATCTTAACCTAAACATTGATTTTCGTTGCATTACAAAGTGCGTTGGCGCTTGTGGTATAAACCGCAAACACAACAGAAATTATGAAAGAAGTATCCAGAATAACAAAGCAATAATTCAGATGAAGCTTCATATATTTTAAAAGAATATTATAAATAATGGAATAATAAACACACGTATCTGTTTAGCTGCTAATACTCTCGTTGATAGGTGATTTACTTCTTGCTGCTGGTTTATCTGTGTTTATATTATCTGTGGAAAATTATTTTTGATATACGGCTAATTCTTTGACGCACATACTCATTTTGTTTATGATAGACCACTCGGCCGTCTAGCCACGAGAGTACCTACCTTAGATTAAATCCTCGCGAAGGACAGTTATCCTTACGAACGTTATTACAAAATATTCTAAATTTCAATTAAATCAAAAAGAATTGGCAATAAATTCGCCGCCAGTCTTCTTGTCTCCAAATTTCATTTTACAAAGATTCCACATACAAATTAAAGTTACAGCAATTCGCAAACAATGTAATGTTGTTTACAAGTTTGAATAAAAAACTTTAACGGTTTAAAACGCGATATATATTAGTTTAAAATGATTTGAAAATTATTTTAACTACAGCCCGATGTTTCGGATGCTTTGCAGCAGCCGTGGTCGTGGGGAGACAATGGAGAAGGGTTTTAGTTACTATGTACTACTCGCGTAAAACAGACAGTATGTGGTAGTAATGTTGGTCCCACACCCCATAGATTTATAGCACTTCTTGACTAAAAACAGAGTAATATCGTTTGAGTCGAGTCTATTATGCGACATTCTATCTCGCTAAATCAACAATTAGCTCACACGCGACTCCGTCTTTATCTCGACATCGCTCATCAAGATAACCGTTCGTTTTTGATATCGAAGATATATTTATGTCTTAATTACTGCGCATCTATTAATATTATAAAAATGCCTTAGTAACGCTAGTTTTCCATGTTATTTTGCACGTGTTACCAGTATTACGATGATAAATAAACGTACGGAGATACTTTTGTTTAGCAGATGTTATTTCTATATGTTATTTGTTGGATTTAAGAACGAAACAACATCGCTAACTGGTTCTTTTGCTTCAGGAGCGCACTGGAAGCTCGGGCGACGTATCTGACCTCACGAGAGAATCATGGGAGGTAAGAGTATATGTTGTCGACTTATCGCTTATTTGTCTTGCCTTACTAACCTACTATTACTGTTTAACAAACAATGCTTCTACACTTCATGTCACATTCCACATCATAGTCAATATTAAACACTTTTTAAATGCGTCTTTGACACGATACGAACGCGACATTAATTCGCAAGATGCAATTTCAGATGTTCGTGTTATCAGATTTAGATTTTTGTTATAAATGTAATATCTATTCTTACACTAAAAAATTTGCTAATTATAAACAGGAATTTTGATGATTAGATAAGATTCTTTGTGCGCTATTTTGATTCGTTAAAAAATACTTTTTTTTTTATACTCATAAAGTATTTAATTATAGTTTAATTTCATACATATTTACGTGATGAGTAAGAAAATGCAGTCTACACAAAAATATACAACCACAGTGAACTACGACGTCTATCATTACATTATCTCGTATTAACTATTGACTCTTGAATTTGGATGTATAACGCAATTGTGCGTAGCTGCTGAAGGCGCCCTACGTGAAAATATACTCTATAATGAAGAGCCAAGCCGAAGCGCTCGGCGACTCTCTCGGAGAGGAGCCTCAGCCAGAGGTACAATAGCGCTTCAAGCTCTATCGCTAGACAAACTTGATGTTAGTCACAACTAGAGATTGCACGGCTAAGAACGCTCGGAATACGATGAAAGCATGTGAGCGAACATGTCAAGGCCTTTAACCTAAAATGAAGTATTTTAATTATGATATAAGATGCTAAATGCGGTTAGAACCGAAACCGAATATTGGTTCGGTTTGAAATGTTAGCCCAAAGTCGAATTTAGAATTACGTTTTCTTTTCATTAACTAAAATTATAAATTCTTATTTATAAGCTGCCAGCAATAACATTTTAATTCCAAGTTTAAACTGTTCTAGCTTTAAAAGTAAATTAAATTCACCTACCTAATATATTGATTAAAGTTGTATATTTAATCAGTAGACAATATAAGTCACAATTTAATTTGAAATGACAGTATCAAATGAGGCTATTAGAGGCAGAGTGGCCTAATAACAAAAAAATATTTTTAATAAGGGGGAAAGTAAAAATGCGCAATTAACTTAGGCGAAAATAAATTTGTCCTATCATTTGTGTAAGAATTATGTTAGCAATTTTTGGTCACTGTGCTCTTCAAATAATCTTTAAAAATCCGTCCCTCGTGGCAAATTACATAGTTAATATTAATATTGAATTAATTTTATTGACGCTTCGTGCACGATGGCACACGGGCCTTGACATGTTCGACCTGTGTAGGATATGCACTTGAACATATTGTTATGTACCTCGTAGGATTGACTCCGTCACACTATTGCTCTATTGATGCACTTGTGAATTACCTTTGTAGATTCATTGGTTTTCGTTCCCTTTTTATTTAGGTTCTTTAGTGTAGATGTATTTTTGATATGTATGTACTTATCAATTGGATGACGATGGCACATTAGTCGTAGTTGTGTTCACGGGTAAAAAGGACTTTATTTTTGATGTATAAGTATACTTACTTAATTAGTATTTTTATTTGAAAGTCACATATAACTATAGTAGGTACAAAATAATACAAAAACGGTTGACTTTTACACCTTTGTACAAAAACATTGGTGGTGCGATGAATACAATATAAATTTATTCGAAATATTTTTTCCGTTTCCCTCGTACTGCGTCTGAACGTCGTAAGTAAAATTGACAAATAAATTACTTTATATAATTCGCGTTCAAAACAGTTGAAAACTGTTATTTCTTATTAAATAACAGAATAAGCAAATATTTTTTTAAACTACGATTTGGTGGTCATTTAAAAGTTAGCTTAGGTGTTAAATATACGTCACGTTTCAAACATGTAAAAAGTATGGTCTAGGCTGAATAATGTACATAAAACTTCGCTCGTAAAAGGATGTGCTATTTGCGTCTTGTTGAAGTTAAATTGGCGATTAATTGCGAACCATTGTGGCGAGCTGATGAAGTTTACAGCGAGTATTTCAGAAAACTCTTGTAATTTTGAAACAGCCAGTTCATTTCATAAAAATACAGAAGTATGTGAACACTTAATATGAACAAATATTAATTAATTAAACCTAGTGCAAACGAGAGAAAACAAAAAAAACAGTCGAGCATAGCACAGGAGTCCGATTTACTATTTGTCTATAAATAAAATCAATCACTAAAACACATAGAATGTCTGCCCAAAGTCTACAGAAAAAAATATACACTTTGCATTATTATCGATAAAAGTCCATTGGAAAATGAAAAATCAGTGGCTTAATTTCGTTGTATTTTAATAGAGAGAAATATACTATCGCCGACATATTTTAGACATTTTAAAGAAAGTCTTTTTCAAAAAAAACACAAAGATCATTTTTCGAACCAGTATTTCCTAAAATTAGCGCGTTCACACAATGAAGTAAACTCATCAGCTTTGTAATATTAATAAAGATTTGCTAGTAGCCGATTTTTCACGTTGTAGTCCCCATTCTTGGCGGTCGTTGCCACCTCCATCATTGGTCCTCCTACCAAATGCCTAGATAATTCAACATGTTAATTTCATAATATATTTCATACAATATTTTGCGGTGAGAGACGATAATATATGTTTCAACTTCCAATGCTATTGAAAGTATTGTACACATATCAAGTTTTTGTATTAACGATGTGTCAAATTAAATTGCCTCATTATGAAAAATACCGGAAGTGGATGTGATTTTATTGCCATGTTTATTTGCAAATAAGCTTATATAAGCGACGTTAATCATCTATGGTTTTATCGTGCTACGCCTAGCTGAAATTATACAGGTATAATTTCACATTAAATAAATAAACAATATGTTTATTAACACTTAAAGACTTGTAGTCTTGCACAACAAAAGAGAAAGAATGAAAAAAATATAATTTTAAACTTTGAGCTAAGGCTAAAGGCAATCAGACTCAGCTTCTTGTCAGCAAAAGTCCGTCCGTCCCTTATCTCATAACGAGTAGTATAGCAATATTTAAACATTGAATTAGCCTAACTTTACTGCCCGTCTTGTACCTAGCTTTTTTTTTAATATACGTACACAATCACTGTTAAAAAAAACATAATTAAAAATAGTATGCGAGAATAAAATGTGTAACCTATATTTTTCAACCACTAGCTAAGAACAACTGGTTTAGGAACCAGTAAAATATTCCATTCGATGCCCAACTTTCACTGGTATATTTCATCAAAGCGGCCACAGCTTATCGCTTCTGTGTACATATTTTGATACCAAAAATTTAGAAAAGTTTTTTTAAATATGTAGGTACGTAGTCTTACAAATACTTAACATTCAATTTTTAGCCGAACACGAATCAAATTGTTTAGAAAAACCGTTTCAAATTGTAATTAATTTGTAAAGCTTTCGATATAGATTATATATATGTTTGTATTATTAAAATGTCAAATCAGATACAATTTGCAATTGAAGCATAGTCTGTGGTCAGCATTGTTAGTCTATCTTGTAATACATACAATGTACTGATGCATTAATCTTTTCAATCTTCATCATGGCTAATATCCACTAATGGTCGTCTCTTGAATTGGAATGAAGTGGATAATATCCAATTTTTAATTGCAGATATATACACACAAAAGCTTATACATTAAATATACAGCAGTACATAGGTTAAGTAAGCATATCTTGTTTCAAAGAAGCAAATTAGAAGTGGAAACGTCTGCATTTTCCCAGATATATACGGTTACACGAAGCTTGCAATACCTTTATAGCTAACATACATTTATTAAACGTCAAAGTAATGAAAATATACATTTCTGGGAACAAGAATCTATAAAAAACTTTATACAAAGGGTCGATATAAATAAGCCGTTGCAAAACGTCTAAAACGACGGCCAGTCAGTTAATTTTTTTTAACTGACTGGCTTACTTAACTAATATATTTTATTCAAAATAATTTCGTATTGTAAACCGTTGAAAATGTTTTATTTAAATGTAATTTAAGAGAGTGTACTACTACTACTTAAAAAATCTTTAATAATTAAAAAACATTTTATCAATAACGGTCAAGCTGTTAGAGCGTAAAAAAGTAATTACAAAGACGGTAAATGTGGGGGAAAGGAGGCCCAGGGATCAATGAACTATGAATATAAGCCATCAGTTCTGCTATGTAACCTGATATTGGTAGAAGATATAGAAGGAAAGCATACAAGTGTTTGGTTTCACGACATATCCACACGACTTGAATGTTTTAATGAGATTTTAAAAGGGTAAAGCGGAAACGGAAATAGACGTCCACAATACCAGTACATATAACGAGCTGGTAAAACGAAAATATGACTTTATTCAATAACCTCTTTTTCATTGCCTTCCAAACAATTGAATATAATATACAAATAGCAAATTTCATTGTCCAAGAGAAAGTTCTTATTTTCAGAAATCTTTTTGACATTTAAATGAAAAAATTAAAATAGTTTGACATAGTTATTTACGTTTAATACCTATGTGGAGATTAGTATAATTTGTATGTGTGAAATCAAACCATTTATTGTAATCTTTACTTTTAAGAATTTTAATATATATATATATATATATATATTTACTTGAAAACAACAAATTTTATTACGGCTAAAATTATATTTAATTAATATGTAAAATCGACGAAATTATTTTACTTCTTCAAATCACAGCTTTTTGAGTTTTACACGTTAAGACCGCCATTTTGTTTTATTTTGACGTTACGTCAGGCATATCTCAAATGTAAGGGAATTCGCGGGAAAATTTAACTTTCCTTACATACATTATACAACAACTCAATACTACTGTTACTCGTATTTAAGTGTCTTCGACCAATTTACGTATCTTATGATTTTTTTCTGAGAGATAAACTCTTAAGCGCTGTCTTGGCTTCTGTTAATCTCGCGTAATCTCGTTTTTATGTTTTATTTGGGTCATGCAACACTCGTATTATGCTTATCCTCAATCCTACTGTTCAGCAGAA